AGCACTAGCAGAACGTTTAGAGGATGTGTGCATCCGTGTCGTCGTTATTTGACACCTGATGACACACACGATCTCTGCGTTTTTTGTTTGGGCGAGGAGCATGCACGCGATGTCCTTGAGGGGGCAATTTGTGTGCATTGTGAGCATTTTTCGATGAAAAAGCTCCGCTCTCGTTGGTCTCTTTTTTCGAGAAAAGAGGGGCAGCCATCTGCTTCCCGCGGTTCAGGACCCGCCGCTGCTGAAGCACGTAGGAGAATGAGCTCGTGGGGATCGCAGGTGGACCTGGCCGATGAGTTTAAAGAGGGGCTTTCCCTCATGCGCTCGTCGGCTGTGGACGAGAGAGAGCTGCTGGAGGATGATGTTATTTCTCTAACATCGTCTGATCCGGGGGCCAGTGCTCTGCTGGGTTCAGCCCAGGAGGAGCAGGAGATGTCTGAGGACGGCGAAGAGGCTGAGGCTGAGCCTTCCCAATCCTCCTGCCCTGCGAATGATGAGCTGTTGTAAGTTATGGATCGCGCCACGACGAGACTGGACTTGCCGTGGAAGCAGGCCAAGAAAGTGACGTCGCGAGGTCACCTCGATGAGCGTTTTCTTTCTGGCCATAACCCTCCAGCTCAGGTGAGCCTTCCATTTCTTCCTGATTTGCATACTGAGATTGAGAAGGAATGAAAGAGGCCGTTTTCCTCACGCATCTATCGGTTCCAGCATACGAGTTATGCCAACATCGAGGCAATGCGTGAAAACGGCTATGAGAGGATGCCCCCTGTAGAAGAGACGCTGGATAGCTATCGCTCTATGGGTGAGACGTCCTCCCTTAATACTCCCTCCTTGCCATCTAAGCCCCTTCAGGATACATCGCGCTTAAATGGCAGGGCATAAGCAGCAGCAGGTCAGGCTGTGGGTTCGTTGCACTCTATGGCGGTGCTCCAGGCGTATCAGGCTGATCTGCTGAAAGACCTGGATAAAGGCGAGGGCCTTTCTCCTGATGAGGTAGCCGAGCTGCGCCGCACCACAGATCTTGCTCTCCGTGCTACTAAGCAGGCCGCCTCCACTATGGGCTTTCTTCTCGATGCTCCGGTTTTGCCTTACAAACTTTTCGGTACCTCCGTTGAGATGGTGGTCGAGAAGTTCAGGGAGGCGAAGGCGCACTCAGCGGCCTTCAAATCCTTCATTCCACGAAGGTCCAGGTCTGAGCCCGAACAACATAGGGGTCCTGGTCCGTCTCGGTCTGAGGATCAGAGATGGGCACAGAAGGCTAGTGTCGCGGCTCACGCTACTCCTCTGCCTGCGGGTAGGGGTAGGAGGAATCGCGGGTCAAAGGGAGGTAGGCAAGACCTTAGGGATGTGATCCAGACAAGGCGTCAGCGCTTTTGTCCAGATCAGAGTGATACTTGAGTCTCTACTCATTTCCTTCGGGGGTTTTACATCTGCCCTTTTCTTCCCCTTCCTAATTCCCCTATAACCACCAGCACTCCACCTGACCGAGGTTAGGTAGGAATTTACTGCATTACAGTCTCCTATGCTGGACCTATGATGTTTTGGTTGGTTCTAAGGCAACCACCCAACCACCTTAGGGATGGTCCGGACTAGAGGCTTCTCTGGAATCTCGTCGACATTATGTCCAGCCGGTATTGGTTCCAGCGTTCCAGCTTCATGCTTCCTGGATCAGGCGTCCAGGTCAGAGGCATCTGCGGGAACCTTCTTGATCATCAGGCCCACGGCACGACACTGCAAAAAATTCCTGGATGTCCGGGCTCCAGGATATCCCCTCTTCCTGAGGCATCGAGCAAGAAGTATAGGTGGCATTTGCGAGAACCTTCTTGTGTATGCTGTCTCAGGCAGTGCTCCCCTCGCCTTAGAGGGTCGTATTTGAGCTTGCCTCTCCCATTTGGCCCAGTACCTCCGAATATCTGTGATCAGATGCCTGGAAATGTTAATCCATGCTATGGTAAGTGCACACGCTAAGCTCTGTGGACTTTCTGAAATCCACATAGTGGTAAGTGTGCACGCTAAGCACTTTGCGCACTTTCTAAAATCCACATAAGTGGTAAGTGTGCACGCTAGACTTTGTACACTTTCTTAAATCCTGTACGGTAAGGGTTACGCGTTATAACTTCATTCCCTTTCTCTGAGTTGGTTAGACCCCGGTACCTTGGGCTCCACTCAACCAGTGTGTCTCTAATTTGACACACTTGGAAGTATTGCTCCCCTCACCATTGAGGGTTACTATGAGCATGCTGCTTCCTATCGAGCGCCTGGGTTCGCTACGTGGGCTGCTCTCGTGGTAATATTAGCAGTGCTCCCATTTTTCCAAAGGGTTGCCTATGAGCGCGCTAGTCTTTCTGAATTCGGAGTTCTCCTCTCACGTGAGAGTTGAGTTCTCTGTTTTTCCCAGAGCACCTGGAACCAGCAGCATCAGGTGAACATAGGCCCTTCACTTCGCCTCTCTGATGCGCTGAGTTTTTTGGCTAGCTTGCAGTACGCTTACCCTCTGATTTCTAACGATCATGCTGTGCGAGCCCCCTCTCTCGTTGAGAGCTGGGTCTATGCTCCCTCAGCTAGGTAACTTACTGCTAGCAGTTCCAGCATTGGAACATGCGGTAGGTCAAGCTCCCCTCTCGTTTGAGAGCTGGGTGTTTGCCCCCCTCAGCTAGATATTTACTGCCAGCCAATCCAGCTTTATGCCTTAGATCGAGTTGGTGACTCATATTGGTTTTGGGATGCACCATTCCATCTATGAGCTGCTCTTTCAGAGTGCCACGAGAGCCCCTTAGAACGGTATCCTAAT